GGCCTCTAAAATGCAGAAATTTAGATTTAAAACTTCTCACACTGTCCTGATTTTTCCTATTTCCCTGTGGACGAGGAGTGTTTTGTCAGGTGGTGTTAGGGAATTAGTATTCTAAGCCAGATGGATTTTCAGCAATGAATGAAGTACAGATCAGTGGAAAGATCATGGAGGCAAACACTGAATTCAAATCCCTGCACCAGCAGTTACTAGCTTTGTAATTTTAAGTGCCGGTAGCCAGTTTCCTTAACTGCAAGGCAGACAGCTAAATCATGGGACTGTTAAGAGAATTAAATTCAATGAATGTATTTAGAATACTTGGCAAAGTATTCTTGGCAAAGAGAAGGGTGCTCAACAAATGTTTTCTCCTCCTCCTTTTTTTCCTGTTCTCTGGAGATGAATCTGACTAGGGCCATATTGACCCTTTCCTCACTGACCCAAACGCGGCCCCATTAGGATCATGTAGGAAACTGCATTATCCTGAGAACAAACCCCCCTTCTGAGTAAACTTTGTGGTAAACTTCATGTAAATGGAAACCAGGGATACTGGACAGTGAAATGGAAAGACAGATGGCTTATAAAAACAGATGGTTTGGGGAATGGCTGGTAACTGGTGAGTTCCGTTAAAGAGGTCAGGACAACTGGAGGGAATATAGTATTAGTTTATGTTATAAAAGTCTGCTGCTCAGAAAAAGATAAAACAGTATATTTTTTCTTCATATATTCACAAGTCTATTTTGCAAACAACCATCTGTCTACTTCCAAGAGTGAATAATTTATATCAAAAATAAATAGTATTAAAATCACCAATTCCACTTGTTTTACTATGAACTTTTGGGGAAAAAAAAAACAATTCAGTAAAATGTCCATAAATGATTTCATCCAATTGTCTATTTTTTTTTGCTTCTTTCCATATATTTCCTGTTCATATCTAATAGGATGATATCCTCTTATGTTGCCCAAGATAGTAATTCTTTATATTTTTAGAAAAGAAAAAAGTTAAAAAAAAACTAAATTGCATTATAGCAAAGAAATTTGTATTGCCAAACAGAAATTTAGCTTAACATTTAAAATCTTTATAAAAGATAAACAAATCCTGAGTTTCCCTTTATTTTATCATAATTGAAAAATGAAATCACTTAATATGATCACCTGATACATAATTTCCGTAAAACTTCTCTATGATGAAACAAAGCTCTATATATTTAAAGAGTGTGTATAACATTTATAACTCATGACAATTCCAAACCAACTAGCACTGGTATAGCTCCAAATTACTATTAGTTGTGGCTATTTTTGGAAAAAAAAGGTACAAAGCTTATTAGGTAGGGCCCAGCATACCAGAAAAACTTAACTTTACATTGTCACAGAGTTCAAGAAGTGACATTACAGTGTGAAGACACTATAAACTGCCATTTCTTTCTCATAAGTTTCTTAAAACAGGTTGCAAAAATATTCAGTACCTCATATATAATAACTAACAAAAATATTTCCATTGGCTACCGTTTGCCCAGAGTGACTAAGGACCAAAAAATAGAATTCTTGTTGCTTTATTATCTGATAAACTGCTAGTAAGCTCCCGTTAGAAGTTCTTTAGACATTACACCAAGTTGTCTTGGTCTTCTGATCATATATATATATATTCATATATATATATATACACATATATATATATGTATTTTTTCAAGTAAAGAAATGTTTAACAGATGTAAACTATTTATTGAATATTTGCCACCAAATATTGTTAAATACATTATCTTGCAGCATATCGCTTTCAAGTTAAAATGTCAAACAAACACCAATATTTACAATTCTTTTAAGGAATGTTATATAATGACACATTAAGGCGTAAATTCTTTTGGCTTATAATTCTTAAAAGAATGATAATAGCAAAAGTGATGCAAAATCTTCAGTGTGAGATTATGATTAAGCTACATTTTACAAAAATATGGTGTAAGATGGCAATAATCCCATTCAACATCCTGGATTAAATCCCTTCAGGAGGGACTGATAATTTATACAGTCAAACTTTAAAATTTACAGATAAAGGCAGTTCAATACTGCCACTGAGAAGTACATCTCTTAACATATACAACTTTCAGGCCACAGTTTTGAAGGTCTGAAGTATCAAGTTGGTTTGATGAATTAGTCGGTTGGCACTTATGAACACATTTATTGCCCTGTTTAAAAAAAAAAAAAAAAAAAAAAATTTTTTAAAAAAAAAAAAAAATCATCCTTTAAAAATATTTATACTTGACACCATCTGCTAACAGTAGCACTGAAATCAATTTAGGGGGAAAAAAAGAAAGGCAAGTTAGTACTGAGGATCTTATCCTTCATACCAGTCGGTACTGAATGCTCCTGCATCATTTGAAACTATCCTAGGAATTACTGCCCCCTAGTGGTTCTGGCTGGCAATAAGGTGTTGGGCTGCTAATGATAGGTGGCGCCTCAAAACCCAGATCTCATGGCTAGGTTGAACAAACTGGCCAAACAGGATTCAATGTAGTTTCCAGCTCCGATTTCACGTAAGTTACCAAAATAGAATCTTCTCCTCAAAATCTCTGTATCAATGGACATGATACTTAAGAAAAAAAGTTAATTACTCGAAATCTGAATTATCCCAATCTCTCTTACCTTCTTTCAAAAACAAAAAACAAAACAAAAAACCAGGAGAATTCTAAACTACTTTTGGAATAAATCTACTTTTAAAATAATCATGTGGCTTCAATATTGAAAGCTGATGATATATAAATACATGTTCTTAGAAATTACTTTGTGCTGCACACATTTCTTCTATCAGCCCATCTTTGGGACAAAGAACTGATGCCCTAGTCCCATAGTGTGGTCTTATCAGTTTCTAAGTATCATAGCTAAAACTTGTATCTTTATCCTAGACATTTCTCAAAAAAGATGGACCAGAAAGAATTAGTGGAATTAATGCAAATACATCCCTCTATTGAAAGATGGCTCAAAGATCAGGTTCTGGTAACAGTTTCCAGTTTTGAGAAAGCAGGTACAAAACTCGTGGCACGTTATTCATACACAAATAATTATAATTTAAAGAAGCTACTGAATGGAGAAAAAGTAGTAGTAGGGAGCCTGAATAATCCATATGCAGAGTACGTAACTTCAGATTAATGAAAATTAGGCTCTAAAGGAATTTCAACCTTTCAATGTGCTTATTTCATGATAGTTCTTAATTAGAATCAGAAATAATGATCCCATCAAGTAAATTATTCTTTTAATGTGTTTTGGTTATTTGGGCTTAGCAGTGGAGACCAAGGAAAAACAGATGTAAGGTTATTTTCAGAACACACCTGCAAGCTTATTAAGCTAAGTCGTCAAGGAACATTTCCCCTAGACTATCTGAACAGTAGTAGGGAATAACACACAACCATTAATAAAATGTAGCTCAGTATCTTTAATTTATAATATAAATGTAAATATTTCAACTTACTTGAACTGTTAAAAAATAACTGAAAATTAACAGACCATTCTAATGTATTTTATTTTTTTAAATATTATTATAATACTGTAATGGTTTGACATGGATTTAAGGATCTTTAAATTTCAAATGGTAGGATAAAATGTTAGAGGTCCCTGCCAGTTATAAATGCAATAATCACTATTTAGATGATTTTTCTGACTTTAAAAACAACGCCCAATTTACCTTTTTAGTATACTACTCGTAGAAGGACCCTGAAAGCTTCCCTCCTTCCACAAGTTAGTCACAACCTTTGCAGCACTTTTAAATCACCTGGAATACTTTTTTTTTTTTTTAAGTTTAATTATTTTGAGAGCAAGAGAGAATGGGGTAGGGGTACAGAGAGAGAGGGAGAAAGAGAGAATCCCAAGTAGGCTCCATGCTGTCAGCACGGAGTCCGACACGGGGCTCGATCTCACAAACTGTGAGATCACGACCTGAGCTGAAATACAGGCGGAATGCCTGACTGAGCCACGCAGGCACCCCCTGGAATACTTTTTAAAAAGACTTAAACCCTAATTCCAAGCTAACTGAATCAGAACCTCCGAAACTGAGACCACGGCACTGGAATTTTTAAAAACTGAACCCAAGTGATTCTAATATGCAAAGTGCATTAAGAACCACTGCTTTAACTTTAGTTCTCAACAGACCTGGCAGCATCAGTATCATCTGGAAACTTCTTAGAAATGCAGATTCTTGGGTGCACTCTAGACCTACAGAATGGACAATTTGTTCTTTAATAAGCCCTCCCGGTGATTCTGAGGCTACTAAAATTTAAGAACCACAGCCTCAGGGGCTGGTAAAGTAGGGTAGTAAGCCAATCTCACTCCCCATGTTTCTGTATGGCTTGCAAGCTAAGAATGCTTTTGTATTTTTAAATGGTTAAAAAAGAAGAAGAAAAATATTATGTAACAGGTGCAAATTATACAAAATTCAAATCTCAGTGTCTGTAAATAAAGTGTTGTTAGGACATGGCCATAATACCACTTGCTCCTATACTATGACTGCTTTTGTACCACAACAGTGGAGGTAAAGTACATAGTTCTGACAAGCCCAAGTCAAAATACTTGCCATGTGGCCTATTTCAGAAAAAGTCGGTCACCTTCTGCTCTCAACTAGTTATGGCTGGATTATCAACCACACGCTATTTTTATAAACAGTCTATCTTTGTTACTAGTTAACTCGAGTATTAACGATATAGTAAAAGGGCGTAATTTACATGGTTTTAGTATTATATAAAACTACATAATTTAACTTTAAAAGACAAGGATGATAAATGACACTACTTACTTGCCATCTTTAAAATAGGTTTTCAAAGTATCACTGAAACTTTTGGAGTATTTTACAAATTCTTTCTTTTGGTGTTCAAGTGCCTATAGACATTAAACACAGTAAGAAAAAAATATTAAATAAGAAAAGAGAAATAACACAAAAGCCAAAATCAAAGACGGGAAGATTACACAGAATACAGAATGGACTTTATATTATGGATTAGAATTTTCAGAAGTATTTACTTAAATATATGTAACAGCATATTTTAATTCAATGACAAAACCAGTGGTTAACGATACAAAACTATTTCCCATAATCAAACCATCTTAGTATTTAATTCAATAAAGCAACTAAGTGTAAAGCAACGTCTAAGGTGGTAGCTTATAAAGCTTCTACTAAACTTACCCTGCGGTTCTGGTATTGGTACTTCTTGAAGACATTATTCACTGTATCAAGAAGTTCTTTTATTGCACTAGCTATATCCCTGTTGGGTAAGGAAAAAAGAATCTCCTTTAAATCAGTTACATTTGGAAGAGGTTTGTCTGTGTGCATGTTTATTGTATATAATATATATAAATATACGCACATATTTTAAGGATTACTAATCACGCAGTTAATGACCACACTAATCCCGCATCATGTGCAAACATCTGACTAGTAGTTTCAGTGGAGCTTTTAGCCCGTACCCTTCTGTGACCCTGACCTCTCTTGCACTGCTGACAGTTTGGTCTAGGTTTATTCTGCAACTTCAACCTTCCCAAATCAGTAACATTTCATTCAGCATTACTTACTCAAATTTTTAAGAATTATTTCTGCTTCTCATCTTTTCCAGTTATGATTTTTCCTTTCTCTGGCTAACGTAGCTAAATTCAAGCTACTATCTTCTTCACTTTTGCTATCTCATGAACAATTATATAAAATTTTTACGCTACATGCAACTCCCTCCTGTATTTACCAGCACTTCAAGTTACATATACCTCATACTCTGAATGTTTAAAATGAAATATTTCCTTCTCAGACTCTCTCTTTTTTAATTTTTTTTAATGTTTATTTATTTTTAAGAGACAGAGACAGAGTGTGAGCAGGGGAGGGGTAGAGAGAGGGGGAGACACAGAATCCGAAGCAGGCTCCAGGCTCTGAGCTGTCAGCACAGCTGAGAGGGCTCGAACTCACGAACTGTGAGATCATGACCTGAGCAGAAGTTGGGACGCTTAACCGACTGAGCCACCCAGGTGCCCCATACATCTCTTAAGATATATTTACCTTCTAACAACTGCCTATCCTCTTCTTCCAAACCTTTGTTGTAATTATTTCCCTTGGAAAATACATTTAAATTTCTGAGAAAGGCAGTATCAGAATATTTTTTCTACTTTAACCCTTTTCAGCTATCATCCCTGGACTATATATGCATCAACACCTTCCTCTCCTTTTAAGGAGATAAAGAAATCAGTAATTCTCATGAGTTGAATGTTATTCTTATCCGTAAACCACTTTTTTTTCTAAACTCTGGTCTTTTATATCTATGCCCTTTTCAATTTTCATCTTCTAACTTCATAGCAATATTTTTGGTCAAACTGAACTTAAACTTCTGCTATGCAAATGTAAGTGTGAAGATATGAATTAGTAAGACATGAATCTAGACCATCCCAAAGATAATCTTTTATTACTGACTTTTTAATCACAACTGTCAGATTTCAGGTATTTCAAACCTAAAACATTTCAGCTTTACTAAAGAAAAAAACCAAAAAAGCTCTGTGTCCAGATTTCTGTATGTGTTTCATAGATTTCCCACAAATAAGCAAGTGGGAAGACTAAGAATTACAAGTATGCAGGATTTTGGTATAAAGGAAGTATTTTAGCCTATTCTGAAATAGTAAAATATTTTAATAAATATTTACTTATTACCTCCTGTATGTCAAACATTGATATCAGGCTGATATATTAGAATATGAAATATGCAAGTAGGACAATGAATTTTACATAGAAATGGTATCTATCCACTCATTTTCTCCTCCTCTTTGCCTCTAGTTTACGAACAGCAGTTTTAACTCATACAACAGTTCCTTTCATCTATGGTTTCAAGTAAGTTGACTCCTTCTGTATTGCTATGATGTGCATAAATTCATTACTGCTTAATAAAGTGATGTCACGTGACTATGACATGAGAAAAATTATGATTTCAGAAAATAAATATTTGGAATGTACTTCAAATCCATAATGAGCCCATTTAAAACAGAACATAATGGAGCAAATTAGAGTGACCAAACAGGTGTTTATACAGAAGAACTTTGTGAATACTTTAATATTCTACTTTAAAGAAGGTATTAGGGGTGCCTGGGTGGCTCAGTCGGTTAAGTGACTTCGGCTCAGGTCAGGATCTCAAGGTTTGTGAGTTCAAGCCCCATGTTGGACTCTGTGCTGAGCATGAAGCCTGCCTGGGATTTTCTCTCTCCTTCTCTCTCTGCCCCTCCCCTGTCATGTGATTTCTCTCTCTCTCTCAAAATAAATAAAAATTTTTAAAAATAAAAATAAAAAAGGACAATAAGAATGTGCTTTCTGGGCTAGTCAACAAGATGAATATATGCTCCATATATAATGACAATGGCTGGATTCTATAGGTCAAAAGAGCAGTGAGTTCTCACCCACTCACCTCTTAGATAAAGCAAGGGTTTACTGAATAGTAGTGCCCCAGGCTTACTAATGAATATTGGGAAGCTATCTATATTTTAAAAGAAAACTTAAAAAATAAGCCCCCAGGTGATTTTGCTGATGAACCAAATTTGGAATCCAGTGTTTGGGAACCTAGAGCCTAGAACTAGGCCATAGGGTTTCATAAAGAATTCTATGGAATGATCAAGGCTGTTTATCCCTAGGCCTGCCCTCCTCTACAAACAACCTGTGGTTGGGGCACCTGGGTGGCTCAGTCAGTTAAGCATCTGACTTCGGCTCAAGTCATGGTCTCACGGTTCATGGGTTCAACCTCTGTGAGCCCAGAGCCTGCTTTGGATTCTGTGTCTCCCTCTCTCTCTCTCTTCCTCCTCCACTCACACTGTCTCATTCTCAAAAATAATAAACATTAAAAAAATTTAAAAACAATCTGGGCAATTTATGTCAAATATTACATCATCTGTATGTACACAGAAGAGTTTTTTCAGTTAAGGCACTAAGGTTTGCACCAGGGAAGCTAAACTGTATTAGTAGTTAAGGGTCCATTTCCAACAAGAGAAAATAATCAGCCCTAAAAAATACTTCAGACAATGTAACAGATCAAGAAATGGAGAAAACCTGAGGATAAAATAACTCCAGTGTAATTACAAACAGTCTGGAGTTAAGTGATTCTGTGAAAAGGGACATATAATACAGTTATAATAGGAAGGAATTTTAGCAATTTGTAGCTTTTAGTAGGGCAATTTTGGGGAAACATACACTTGAAAGAGAGGACAACAAGCATCAGATGAAATGTAAACATACACCTTATCCAAAACTTGCATGGAATAGTAGAGCTTTTAATCATGTCACCCAAATTTATATAACATATGTTTATGTGAACACTTGAAGGAAATTCCTATGCTGTATGTTTAGTTTGGTCTAGACTGGACAACTCTGGAAAAGCTATTCTGAAGCCATCTGGAAAACCAAACTCGTGAATTTTAGCATATAATTATGCAAATGAAGATTATAAAGAGTGAATAGATCAACGCATGGCTTTCTGCTTTATTAAGGTACAAGTCTCTACTAGTCATTCATTAGAATGTATCAGACTTTAAAAAACCCCTATTAATTTTATTAAATATTTGTATAAGCTTAACTGTAGTCAAACAGAAACATTCATTAATCAAAAGAACTTTTAACGTATTTGTTTGCCGGATCATTTTCCTAATCATCTCCATAGAGAAAAGGGGGAAAAAAGCCCTATAATACAATGCAACATGTGTTGTAAGCATATGCGCAGTTCTGTGTGAAGCACTTTGTGTATGTCATTTCTTTCAACTCTTGCAACTGTCACCCTCATCTTCAGACAGAAGCTAGAAAGACAGAAGCTAATAAGCAATTTAACTGAGGCCACACTGCTAAATACTGGAATAGAAATTCAAACCCAGGTCTGCTAACATACACAAAAATACCTGGATATTTGTTAGTGGACAGGAGTCTTTTTTCTACTTTAACATAACCCATGAAATCACATGTAGTACTTGATAAAGCATTTGATACAGATTTATTGAAAAATATTGCTAAAATAAATGAAGATAAAACTACCTTAAATATACAAAAGTAAAATATTTTAAAGAAAAAAACAGTAACTACATAATATGTTGTACCTGAAGGATAAGCCTTAAACAATTAACCATGGGGACGATATGTACCAAAATGTATCAATCTATATCAGTGATACAAATAATTACACCTTACCTATCTATATTAATTCATACATGGTTGAATTTTAGTCTCAGAAATAATACATATTATCAACACAAACTTTCCATGGCCAATTATACCTCCTCAAACGGTTAAGAAATAAATGTGAATTGCCAATATTCTTAATTCAGTCATGCTGGGCACACTCCAGAAAACAGAACTGAAATATTAATACTGCCCGATAAATGAAAGACAAGCCCCTGATTCGGCCTCTGTCAAGGATTATGGACAAGACTCTTAGGCTCCTGACCTCGATTTCCTCACAATTAAAATGTGGTTGTTTATAAAGTGTTTTTCAAACCTCTCTCTCCACAGCCACAGTGGGTTTAGCAGGGATGCTTTGGGGACTCCACAGAGGGGAAAGATGGTGTCAAAGTAGCAGGATGAGGGTTCTGGGCCTATCATATCTACCCCAGTTTCAACCACAACACTGTTCTCTCTCTTACCTACCGGAATTCTATATTAAGATGTCCTTTATCACACCTCTTCCAAATGGTAGAAACTTTTTTTTTCAATCACCAGATTAGATCAGCATTATGCATCTCGGATTGGGAAGCAGCAGAGAAGACCATGGAGCGAGTTTGTCTGGGTTCAAAGCCAGATCTACCAACTTACCAGCTCTGTGACCTTGGAAAAATTACTTAATTTCTTCACTTGTTATGGCAGTGTTATAATAAGTTAATACACACAAAGCACTTAAGAAAGCACTGAATACATTATTCTAAGTGACTGCTATTACTATGAAGATGACATTGATTCTATAAACTTCTCCTTCAATGACCTGAGGCAAAATCTGCCGAAAATATTATTTTTAAAATGTCATATTTTCATAGAAACGTAGCAGAGATTATAAGCAAATATATGATCAAAACACATTAAAATCTTATTAAATTTTTTTGAAAATGCCAAAATAAGTTGTTTAAACAACTGTGCTTCAGATCACTGGCAATTTACCCTTTTATGAGATAAAACATGTTTACTTTTTATTAGACTAAAAATAAAATTTCATGCACAGTTGACTGTCTTCCTTTTTTACATATTAAAAATAGTTAAAGGAAGTTGAGGCTTTCCTATAAGGGTAAAATATCTACCTTGGTATTTGCTCCTGTGACATGAAATTTGGCTACCCAATGAAAAATCTTTCTCACACTTTCAGGTTCTCAATTAGAAGACCTACAAGAGGGGCACCTGGGTGGCTCAGTCCACTGAGCATCTGACTTAGGCTCAGGTCATGATCTCACAGTTGGTGGGTTTAAGCCCTGTGTGAAGCTCTATGCTGACAGCTCAGAGCTTGGAGCCTGCTTCCAGATTCTGTCTCCCTCTCTCTCTGCCCCTCCCCCATTTGTGTTCTAGATCTCAGTCTCTCAAAAATAAAAAAAAGTTTAAAAAAAAGGGGGAGGGGGAAAGAAGACCTAAAAGAGGAGGGGTGCTCCTTGATAGCTGGGTTGGGTGCCCAACATGAACCATTATTTTCTAAAATGGGATATTCCTCGCCCCATACCACTCAATAGGTGCCCAAACCAGCTAAAATAGCATTTTGTAATGTGAATTACAAAGAATACTATTTCTAAGAGATGAATGTTATTATTTACTTCCAGTGAACCTCTTTATATTCTTCAACGATACAATGTATGTGAACAGACACCTTTCCAAAGAAGATACCCAGATGGCCGACACATGAAAAAATGCTCAACATCACTCATCATCAGGGAATTACAAATCAAAACCACAATGAGATACCACCTCACACCTGTCAGAATGGCTAACATTAACAACTGAGGCAACAACAGATGTTAGCAAGGATGCGGAGAAAGAGGATCTCTTTGCATTGTTGGTGGGAATGCAAGCTGGTGCAGCCACTCTGGAAAACAGTATGGAGGTTCCTCAAAAAACTAAAAATAGAACTACCCTATGACCCAGCAATTGCACTACTAGGCATTTATCCAAGGGATACAGGTGTGCTGTTTCAAAGGGGCACATCATGCACCCCCATATTTAGAGCAGCACTATCAACAATAGCCAAAGTATGGAAAGAGCCCAAATGTCCATCGATGGATGAATGGATGAAGAAGATGTGGTGTGTATGTGTGTGTGTGTGTGTATGTATATATGTGTGTGTGTGTGTGTGTGTGTGTGTGTGTGTGTGTGTGTGTGTGTGTGTGTGTGTATATATTGGAGTATTACTCGGCAATCAAAAAGAATGAAATCTTGCCACTTGCAACTATGTGGATGGAACTGGAGGGTATTATGCTAAGTGAAATTGGTCAGTCAGATAAAGACAAAAATCATATGACTTCACTCATATGAGGACTTTAAGAGACAAAACAGATGAACATAAGAGAAGGGAAGCAAAAAGAATATAAAAACAGGGAGGGGGACAAAACATAAGAGACTCTTAAATATGGAGAACAAACAGAGTTACTGGAGGGGTTGTAGGAGCGGGGATGGGCTAAGTGGGTAAGAGGCATTAAGGAATCCACTACTGAAATCACTGTTGCACTACATGCTAACTTGGGTGTAAATGAAAAAAAATAAATTAAATAAAGATAGGATGTATGATGATGCAGCCTCTTCCAGAAAAACAAAAAAACAAAAAACAAAAACCTGAAAATCTTTCCTTGTCAGCATTTTCTACTTGTGGTTTCACTAAAAGGTTGCACTAATAATGCCATTCTAGTTATTCCCAATTTTCTTCATTTTGTATCCAGTCAGGCTGAAGAAAATTATGAGACTCTTTACTCATCCGGAAATCATGTTTGGAGTTTCCCCCTCATTCTCCCACCCTTTCACCCCTGAGGAGAGCGCCCCTGGTTTGAGAACCACTACTCAAGGATGATCCTTCTTGCTGCTGCTCACCAGTCAGCCTCCTGGCCCCACGCATATTCTCAGTCTAATTTAACCTGTATCCCAAAGGTAAGGATTTGGAGGTTTACGATTTGGCAAATATTAAAAAATGCTCTTCAAGCCTAAGAGTACATTACTTATCTTAATGACTTATGCCATTTCTGAAACAAAAATAATACTGGTATCCTCTGTTACCGATACTATAATTTATCCAACTTCTCTATTCACTTTAATCTGACATTTACATTTTTCAATTATTTTTTATAGTTCAAACTGCATTCCAGTTTATGTACATTTCATTCACTTTTTATATTAACATTCTAAAAAACATTACGTTCTAATGCCAAATACCACAGCTTAAAAGTTAATAATCAAAAATACAGCATTTAAAAATTTCAAGTTTGATTTCAAATTAGCATTTCAATTTAGTATTAATGTCATACCAAAATAAAACACCTAGAATTAGTGGTTCTTTTGAAGTCTTTTCAAGAAAAGAAGAACCAAAGCCAAAAGCTGCTTACTTGATTGTCTGCAGAAACCTCACTCGGTCATTGATCTCATCTGGGATCTTACTGAGAATTTGTTTAAGTGCTCGTGCCTTTTCGTTTAGGTCCTGGAATTCTGGCTCTGGTCGTTCAATCATATACTCTGACAAAATACATAATAAAAAGCATCATGCAATTCCCTGCCAAATTCAAGTACAAGAACTCCCAGCATCGGTTAAAGAGGTGTGGCAGAGTGGGGAGAGAAAGGCCAGATGATTAGGAAAGACAAGGCTGCAAAAGCAAAATTCATTAAAACTCAACTTAGTTCGGAAATAGTATTAGGGCCTTCACTCTACAAGTGAAGTATCAGAAGATGAAAGACCAAACATTTTCCATTTTGGGATAAACGGAAATCCCGTGAATCTTAAATAACTAAACAAACATCTCAGTCAAGTTTATCAGGCCTCTGAAGCTATACTTGACACAGAAACCTTAAACCTTATGACATTCATAACAAATATAATGGCAACAGATATCTGTCAATGGGGTAGATGAGTTTAATAAAAACCTTTATATTTAATATATCAAAACCCAAACAACCTACTAATATCTTCAGCACATTCTTGAAATCTCACTTAAAACACAATTTACATTGATTTTTTTCCCCACTATCATCACAATAATAATAATAGTAAGGAAGGGAAGGAGAAGGGAAGGGGCGGGAGGCCCTTTTGTCAAATAAAGATCTGGAGGAAATGCTTTTCAACAAATGTAGGAAAAGTAAATAAGACTCTCTGACTACCTTCTACATCATCAGCTGCCATTCGAAGAAGGGACTCTGTGAAGTTAACTTCTACACTTTTTTTCTCTAAAATTTTCATAATGATGTCTTGCGTGAGTCCTGGATTTTCTTTTTCAGCCTATAAAGAAGAGAAAGCTAGTTTTAAAACACAGAAGCTCAGTCAGCATTTTAAAGCCAAAACTTAATCGTTTAGAACCTGCTGAGAATTTCTTTCAGTGATCAACTTATGAGGGCAGAAACCTTTGTAAAGTAGGTGTCCTGATGGCATTCACTTATGTTTCCTCAGAGCTTATGCACGAGGCTTCTTGTTACAGCCAGGGTCTCTTTTGCCATTTGAACGTAAAGTACTTAACACTTCCTACTTCTCCTCTACGCTCACTTGCAATCAAACTAGTAACAAAAATAGAAATAAAGGTTATATATATTTTGATAATCCATCAATTACTCTTTTCAGTAGCTTAAATATACTAAGGATATTTAGATTTTTTTCTCATTAGCTAATATTCCAACTTGAGAATCAAGTAATACTTATGTTACCAGTACTTTGCAGATCCTTGGCATTTAAATGAACAGCAAGTCAAGAAAAACAAAAATGAAACAAAAAAGCAGAGTTCCCTTTGCAGGTTTTATTTAAGCTATATAATCCCTTAACTACTTTCCCACATAATGATTTTCATTTCCTATTTTATTTTTGTAGCAAGAATATTTCCTTTTGTAGCAAGAATATTTGTAGCAAGGATAATTTACAGAACATCATTTCATCCTTTTGCTATCTCCTGAGCTTGTCTCACTAATGAGTGTATTGGTTCTATGTTACTTACATTCACCAGGGCACTAAAATCTTCCAGCCATTTCAGGACTGAACATAGGAGTTCTGAGCTTATCAAAGTTAACTTTCTGATATGGGTTTTTCCCAGTGATTTTTGTCCCATTTTACTATTTTTAAAAATTTTGTAATGACATTCTAAGTTTGTTTTAAGATGCCTGTCAATTTGAATCATTGTGCTAATGATTTATCATTTTTGCCCAATATTAAATGGCAAATAGAAACACCATTTATGATCATAATCGGACAGCGATCTATTTACTTCCTTGTGTGTCAAGCACATTTAACCTCTGCCTTTACAATTCCTTTCTGGTATCACTGCAGATCTAGCTTTCTTCTGTTCCTATGCTCTTTCCATTATAACATCTTGTTTTTCAAGTACCAAACACTGAAAGGTTTTCGGATGGAATGAGAAAAGAAAATATGCACATTTATCTCAATCCTGGGACCATTTTAACTGCTGTCGTATGCTACTTAAGGAAGTCATTTTCATAGATGATTAATAACAATAAAGTGTATCCTATGAATTCATTCCCTTTATAACCTGTTTTGATTTTTCGTTCCATGAGTATATGTAAGACAGAATCTATTTTTAAAATACAAGACTACCTTTTGAAGAAAAATTGTATAAATATGGGTTAAGATGGTATCAACATTAATTTGGTGAATTGTCACAAAATTATATACACTATGTAAATAAGCCAGTATTTGATAACAGTGGTTTATCTTCCTTCTCTGAGTAGCATTACATTGCCTATATAATGCATTGTTTTAGGAGGCAGGAGCGCATTCCCCATCTGCTCACAAAAAGTTTCAGCAGGAAGACAATCTCTGATTAAGTTATAATACGGTGCCAAAAGAACTAAATGCTGACAGTCTGAGAATAAAGTTTCCAACATCAAGTTGGTCTGGAAACTGCCCAAACTGGAGCATTACAGAAATCTTGCAGAAGTATTGAGCATTCTCAGTTCACAAGTGTTCTTAGTGCTAAGAAATATACTTTAATAGTGCTATGTATTAAGTAGTTAGGTTCAAACAACTTAATAAGTACTTGCGTTCTTCTAACATTGTAGTAGTCTTTAAGAAATACATAAATTGAAAGAAGAATATTTTCTTTAATTCTTAAATAACCAAGATTACTTGCTACTGAGATATATGCACCTGTTGGGCACTGCACAATTCTCAAATGTTGGAATCAGATTGGACCCTGCCCTCACTTCCTGTTGTATATTGATTTTCTTGTGGTACCTCCTTTTTCTCACAGCAATGGCCAAAATTCCAACCTCATAAAGATATGACATCATTGAAAGGAATAGGGCTTAATCTAGTGTGTTGGAATTGCAAACTACTTCAAGCTAGCATAGTTCACAGGGTCTAACAGATGTTTAGCATCACTATGTTCCTTTAGATGTTTAACATAACTCATGGCACCCATCTGAGTTTGCTGTGGGGACGCAGGGTGCCTAGGCACATAGCTTAGGAATTACAGTCTTAGTATCTTCTGGCTGAAATCCTAATTAAGCTACTTACTTTTAATTTTAAATGCCTTAAATCTACCCAATTCTTCTGACTGACAAAATAAACAGATCTATGCTTAAACTGGTGACTTTATCTATCTATATCTTCAGGTCTGCCCCAGAATACAACCTTGCATTCTATGGTTGTCCAATTTTTATAAAGAACCCAACTATGACAGGAAACTATCCTCAAAGGCAGTAACATCCACTCTTGTGATTCAGTGATTCTCAACAGCAAAACCTATCAGAACTTTCCAAGAGGAAAAAGAACCAAGGACAACAGGTATCTTAAAAGATAGTATTTATTAGTATTTCATCTTGGGAGAAACTATTTTAATCCTTTTTCTTGTGATAATAATAAAAATAAATATTAAACCTTGATAGATGACACTGTGTTGTGGTCAAAGAACTGGAAACATAGGCATATATATTATGGATATTAATAGGGATATATGGGTGAGTGAGGCTTTTAAAATCTTTTTTCAGGGGCGCCTGGGTGGCTCAGTCGGTTAAGCATCCGACTCTTGATTTGGGCTCAGGTTGTAATCTTGCAGTTTGTAAGTATGAGCTCTGCATGGGGCTCTGCACTGTCAGTGTGGAGCTTGCTCGGGATTCTCTCTCCCTCTCTCTGCCTCTCTCGTTCTCTCAAAATTAATAAACTTAAAAAAAATTGTCAAATAAGTTCTAGTTTTAAAAACACAAAATCTTCATCTTTTTAATGCATGCCCTTTTAATTCCATTTGAAATTTAACAAATTAAATTTGCTCAGTTGATTAAGCATCTGACTTTGACTCAGGTCATGATCTCAAAGTTCTTGAGTTCAAGCCCCTCCTCGGGCTCTGTGCTGACAGCTCAGAGCGTGGAGCCTGCTTCGGATTCTTTGTCTCCCTCTCTCTGCTCCTTCCCCCACCCCTCCCCACTCACAATGACGGTCTTTCTCTCTCTCTCAAAAATAAATAAACATTTGGGGCGCCTGGGTGGCGCAGTCGGTTAAGCGTCCGACTTCAGCCAGGTCACGATCTCGCGGTCCGTGAGTTCGAGCCCCGCGTCAGGCTCTGGGCTGATGGCTCGGAGCCTGGAGCCTGTTTCCGATTCTGTGTCTCCCTCTCTCTCTGCCCCTGCCCCATTCATGCTCTGTCTCTCTCTGTCCCAAAAATAAATAAACGTTGAAAAAAAAAATTTAAAAAAAAAAATAATTAAAAAAAAAATAAATAAACATTTAAAAAAATTAACAAATTAAATATGATAATAATGATAAAATCAAGGCAAACTAATTTGTTTTCCTCTCAAATGAACTTCCACTTTCCCCAATTAAGAATCAGTGCCAAGGCTAATAAAATTTATCCATATGGTAAACCAGATCTATCATAACCACATACTTTAAACACAGTTTAAATTGTACTTTAGTGTTAAAACATCAGATTATATATAAGTATATTAAAAGAAAAAGCTTAATGAAATTATTTTGTCTCTTTTAGAAATAACATTGAGGATATCATCTACTACTTCAGACAGAGTCCTCTTTATGATGAGCACGAGAAATTTCTCTCTGTTCTTGCTATCAGAAAAGCTGAAAAACGGACTTTTGCCTTATCAATACTATATTGTTTTTTTTTTAATTTTTTTTTTTTTACATTTATTTATTTTTGAGAGATAGAGTGAGACAAAGTGAGAGTGGGGGAGGGGTAGAGAGAGGGGGAGACACAGAATCTGAAGCGGGCTCCAGGCTCTGAGCTGTCAGCACAGAGCCCGAGGAGGGGCTCGAACCCACAGACTGTGAGATCATGACCTGAGCTGAAGTCAGACACTCAACCGACTGAGCCACCCAGGCGCCCCTCAATACTAAATTGTGAAATAAGTTGCCTTTCCTTCCCTTCTTTGGCCACATTGAAAATAGTTAGAAAGTCAGCTTAAAACAGTTTCCATCATGCCTCCCTAATGACTAAATATGCCATTCCAAAACCACACCAAACTCAAAGAAAAAAAGAAACTGATGGTGTTACCTGATTCATTTTCTTCATTAACCCAATGATTTGTCAGAACATATTTTAATTAAGCTACTACGTATACATATACAGGCAGTGCATTTTAGAGTATTAATCACATCAAACTAGCTCTAATCTAATACATACAATGTAAATTCTTTTTTTTTTTTAATTTTTTTTTTTTCAACGTTTATTTATTTTTGGGACAGAGAGACAGAGCATGAACGGGGGAGGGGCAGAGAGAGAGGGAGACACAGAATCGGAAACAGGCTCCAGGCTCTGAGCCATCAGCCCAGAGCCTGATGCGGGGCTCGAACTCACGGACCGCGAGATCGTGACCTGGCTGAAGTCGGACGCTTAACCGACTGCGCCACCCAGGCGCCCCATACAATGTAAATTCTTATGGTGAGGTAGGAGAGATGTCTAGTGACATAGTCTATGCTACCAGTTAAGAGTGGTATCGATAAACTAATCTTTGCCATAAAAAAAAAATCAAGCTGGATGGCATTATGGTTTTATTCAAATAAAACTTACCTATACATTTTTTTCTAGATTTAAACATTAAAATACTTTACCTGAAATATAAGTTATCTTAGCTACAGACAGAAACAAATACACACAAAGTAAATAAAAATGAAAGATTTGGGCACCCTGATATATACCGGGAAAGGAAGGGGGATGAATAAAGTTTTATATGAAAGACTGCACCCAATATGTAGAATAGGGATGTCCAACAGAAATATAACTCAAGCAACAAATGTCATTCATTGTAATTTTAAATTTCCTAGTGGCCACATTAGAAAAGTAAAAAGAAATACATGAAATCATTTTAGGAGTACAACCAAAATATTACCATTTCAGTATGTAATTACTATAAAATACTTATTGCTGAGTTATTTTACATTCTTTTTCTTATACTAAGTCTTCAAAATCTGGTGTATATTTTATACTTGGAGTACAACTCAATTTGAACCAACCATATTTTAAGTATTCAACAGCAACACGTGGCTAGTAATTATTAAATAGTATGTGGCTAGTAATTATTTGTCTCCAAATCTGGAGACAATGAAAAAGTTGACTCTAAGTGACTCGACCGTATAAGGAAAAGGTATCCTTAATCTGACCTACACACAGTTCTTATTTTCCCATCAAAAATACTGTTTTATACTTAGGTTCTGTAAGTAAGCAATATGAAAAACATATTTTCAAATTATAATTTTACAAAAAGCTTTTTTTTTTAATATTTTTGAGAGAGAGAGAGAGAGAGAGGGGGAGAGAAAGGGAGAGAACACGACCGAGCAGGGGAAGGGCAGAGAGTGAGGGAGACCGAGAAACTGAAGCAGGCTCCAGGTTCCAAGTTGTCAGTGCAGAGCCCGACGCAGGGCTTGAACCCGCGAACTGTGAGATCATGACCTGAGCCAGTCTGTCGCCCAACTAACTGAGTCACCAAAAGGTTTTTATCAAGTCAAATAACAGGAAAAGAAATTGAAAATATACTCTAAAGCTAAAGAGAAGAGACTCCAAAGAACTTAGTTTCAAAAGCATAAAAGTGATAAAAAGATGAATGCTAAGGAAACAGCATTTGTGTCAATTCACTTTTTGGAAGTGTTTTAAGCTTTAAAGAGTACACTAAAACAGACCTGAGATAGCTTAGAGGTTTTCACTAGAAGGAAATAAAGTGGCAATTATCACATGATATTCAGATTTATACGTAACATACATTTTAATCATAATAAATTATGTGCACCTCACCTTAATGAAAGCTGCTCTCAGTGTCTGAGCTGCAGACAGGTTTACTCGTTCTAGCTGTAATAAAAATTTTAAATCACTGTTAATATCAATTTTCTTAGAAAAAGCACATTTCTGATATTCCACTCTATAGTAATCACACTGATACATCCATCATTTGATTAACAAAAACACTTGCTAATTATTCTAAATCACCATAATTCTTCAAATACACAGGCTATCTAAAATTTTCATTAGAGACCATGAGAAATTAAGGAATATATAGGAGTTTTTCACTGAGAAGAGAAGAGAAGAGAAGAGAAGAGAAGAGAAGAGAAGAGAAGAGAAGAGAAGAGAAGAAAAACACACTGGGGGCACCTGAGTGGCTCAGTTGGTTGAACTTCTGACTCTTGATTTTGAGTCAGGTCATGAACTCAGGGTCGTGAGATCAAGTCCAGCATAGGGCTCCCTGCTGGGCATGGAGCCTGCTTAGGATTCTTTCTCCCTCTCCCTGCTCTCTCTCAAAATAACAAAAACAAAAACGAAAAAAACGAAGACAAGCTCTACTTTAAGAGTAGATTTAAGATAAGCATAGAATACAAAATAATATTAAGTCTCTACAGAAAGAATAAACATATTTACTTCAATTATTGAAAATGGGATTCAAGATCAATTCTCAATAGTCTATTGCAAGTACATGGTAAGTTGGGTGTGCACCGAACATAAAATGATCAATACCAAGAAAACATTTATTTAAGATTCTTTGCATTTTACTCCTTTTTAATTATTTTACAATTCCTCAGCCAGGAATTAAGCTGACGTTAGTATATTTTATTAATTAGAAAATAGCACCGATAAAAGGTTTGATACTAAATAAAGACTGTGGATCATCTGTCTTCTATGTTACCGGGATTAAGAAAAAAGTTACCTAAAATACTGTCTCAAAAGTTGAATTCCAAAGCTTTTAATTTTAGTATCAAAATGTGAGGTTTACAATTATGGAAAATAAGTGTCCTTATTATATACTTTATAGAATTCATTTTTCAGTGAGCCAAAAATAAATAAAGAAATAAAATTTCATTAAAAAAAAAAAAGCAAAAAAAAAAAACGCCATTTGCTGGGGCACCTGGGTGGCTCAGTCGGTTAAGCATCTGACTTTGGCTCAGGTCACGATCTTGTAGTCTGTCAGTTCAAGCCCCGCATCGAGCTCTGTGCTGACAGCTCAGAGCCTGGAGCCTGCTTCAGATTCTGTGTCTCCTCTCTCTCTGCCCCTTCCATGCTCATGCTCTCTCAATAATAAATAAATGTTAAAAAAAAAAAAAAAAAAAAAGCCATTTGTTGAAGAGTTAGCTGCTAGGCTTAAAGTAACTACCTTCGGTTAAATTCATATTCCTTTGGTCTCTAAGGATTGGGCCAATTAACTCAGTAAAACTCAATGTGTGTATATATGTGTGTGTGTGTATATTTTTAAGCTTTATATTTAAAAAAAATTATTAATGTCCATATCTGAGAGAGAGTACAAGTGGGGGAGGGGCAGAGAGAGGGGGACAGAGGAACTAAAGCAGCTTCGCCCCACAGCAAGCAGCCCAATATGCAGCTCGAACTCACTAACTAAGACCATGACTTGAGCTGAAGTTGGACACTCAACTGACCAAGCCACCTAAGTATCCTAAAGTATATATTTTTTTACTGGGGACAATATTAAATGTTCAAAAACAATGTAACTTTTATAGATTTTTATGCAAGTGGAATATTTTTACAAAAACCTTATGAACATAGCATATTTTGCAGTAAATATTCCTTTCAATCCTTGGAGGCAATAAAATGTACCTTTGCCTTTATAAACAATATAAACATACATACATGTATTTAAGGAATGGCCTACACTTTATTTTCTAAACAAGACAGAAATGCCAAGAACCTTATCTCCCTACAAGTTATGCACCTGAAACATAAGGCAAAAACAACAAAATCTGCCAAGATAAATACTTTATCTCCAAAAATAAACAACAGACCATTTAATTCAGTATTTAGCTTGGCTTCTACAAATCCTGTAAAACTAACATCGCCGGGAAGATACAAGGGAACCACATAGGCAAATACAACAAAGAAGCAACTATGTAAGTTTATAAAATTAAAGAAAGTATGCTTCCAAAAATGAAAACTTCTTCCATGGAATTCATTTAATTATAATGAATACTACTTAAGATTAAAATAACAATACAGCTCTTCTCATCTCAAGTTCTTGTGCAAGGGAGGGAGAGGCAGGCAGACAGGATGAATGTTTTCCACTCTGATAGGAACCATTTCCTTATTTGGGTTTACACCACACTCTGACCTCTTTCAGCAAGTCAAAGGTCTGAGTCAGATGTGTACCTTCAAGTGTCAGCATTATTATCTCTTTCTGTACTGGTTGTTATGTGAAAGGGTCAAGGCAAGTAAAAGAGGCCCAGAAAATTTGTGAAGAAGTAATAAAAGTACCAAGATAGACATCAGCATCTCTCTGGATTTCTAGATTAAGTTTACATAAGTGTATCTTAGAAAAGAAAAGGAAAAGTCAGGTATATACTAAATCAAATCTGTGAGCTGTGAAGCACCTCACCAGAACTCTGCTGGGAGTCATTTTGGGATACATTATATACCCACACAACTTGTAATAAACCCACTAGGCTTTATTACTCATATGATATCCACACTGCCCAGGGAATAGCAGGCATGCAGGCACATATATATTTTTTGAATTGAACTTAATCTCTCATCCATAAATTTATCTAAATTGTTCTTGAATCTATTTATAATTTCAGCCTGTAATACTCAGGCAGCAAGATATGTTTTTATCTTCCCAAATAAAAAGAGCTTCCTTTTTAGATCTTTCACTTGTGATAGATGATTTGATTATAAAATCATGTTTATCCTACCTTTCATGACAATGTAAGGTTCTGTTGTATCCTAATGACAATTATCATTTACTTAGCACCTGTAATGAACTTTGTTATATACAGTATTTTTATAGAGTATCTCATCCTCACAATCTGTAACTAGCGATCATCATCTCTATTTTAAAAGGCAGAAATTCAGTTTGCATAAATTTACCCAATGTTCAGTAGCTGTAAGTACAGAGGCAGAATTCATAACAGTTCTGTCTGGTTCCAAAACCTATGCACAAGCCACTAATGCCACCCAGCCTCCCTGAATTCACCCTTTGCAGACTGGCAGTCCCCCTATCATTGAACCTCTTCAACTACTTAAGAACTAACAAATTCCTGAGTTTCTACCATGTGTAAGGAGGTCAGTGTAACAGATACAAAGAAATAGATTATAGTCCTGGAACCCCAGAAGATCAATTTAAGTAAGCCACTACACGGACAGTGATGGGATCACTCACTATCAGTTGAAGTAGGAAAAAAGTCTTTATGAAAAAGAGATCTGAATGGTCCTAAAGAGGGTATACTCTTAAAATCTTCTGCCTTGGCTATTCTCCCACTTATGTATTTCTTCAGGTTGGTAACACATGGGGGTGTAAACACTGTATGTAAGTTCAGAACAGAAAAGAATTTCCATTTTGTTTCCAATGCTTTCATTAATTAGCCCAGTTGCTTTTTCTAGCTTTTGAGATAACAGTTGTTGGCTAGGGTATCTTTAATGAGCCAACATCCATCATTTCTTAGCTGCAATTGATAGTGCACACACCACATTTTGAATTCTAAGGAGGAGGAAAATATGATTACACCTTGATTAATGGATATCTATCTGGACAAGGAGGGACTTTCCTTGGGGCTCAGCCATCTAGGATTTCCATGTCACCAGTAAAAGGGTAAAGGAAAAAAAAAATGAGCACGAGAGAAAGGGGCACATAATATCTCATTTCACCAAAAACATAAGGACAAGTGCCTCAAGTCCTACCTAGAGGGTTATGATAGGCTGGGTGAAGCTAACAGCAAGGCTCACCTCACATCCTGCCTACTCTCAGTTTTGTGAGCTCCTCCTGGAACTTATTTTTGATAGCTTCTGAGAGCACTTAGTACTAACTGCAAACTTTGCTTTAGAATGTTCATGAAAGTATTTCAAAAGGTTACACATAATTTTGATTCCATAGAGAGCTCATTTATTACATTGGTCCCTCCAAAAGTTATTAGTTCTTTCCTATACTTCCTTTTCTACGTATCAACCCAGTCTCTTACACCCATAATTAAAAAAAAAAAAAAAGAAAAAAATCCATTTAACCCTTTGGTTGCTCAAGTTTTACAGGTCTTGCATAAGACTTTTTTTCTTTTTTTAAATTTTGCTTCCTCAAAATCAAGCATGATTTCCCCCATGCTGACATCTTTCTCCCTTCCCCACAAAGACTACTGATCCTATTCTTTAAGGAACAAACAGGGCCAGGACACCAGTATAAAAGGTACACTTCTTATGACTCAAATAAAAATGAGGTGAACCAGGTCAAAAAAAGAAAACAAACAAACAAACAAAAAACCAAACCCTAGGACAAAAGTAGATAGAATCAAGAGGCCACAATGGGGCGCCTGGGTGGCGCAGTCGGTTAAGCGTCCGACTTCAGCCAGGTCACGATCTCGCGGTCCGGGAGTTCGAGCCCCGCGTCGGGCTCTGGGCTGATGGCTCAGAGCCTGGAGCCTGTTTCCGATTCTGTGTCTCCCTCTCTCTCTGCCCCTCGCCCGTTCATGCTCTGTCTCTCTCTGTCCCAAAAATAAATAAATGTTGAAAAAAAAAATTTTTTGGAAAAAAAAAAGAAAAAAAGAAGAAGAAAAAAAAAAAAGAATCAAGAGGCCACCTACTAACCTCTGTGCTGCCACACAGAAGACAAATGCAGTCATGTGTTTTACACATAATAAATGCAGTTAACTGTTTCTAAATTGATCCATTCCTGGGGTTGCCAAATTGTCCAGCAAAAAAGGTAAGCAAAGCCACCTAACTTTTACAAAAATGTCTCCTTAAGAATGGTCTACAGAAAATTACATGAAAGATTCCTGAATAACAGCTAATACTTCACTACATGCTTGGTACTATTCTTAGCACTACAATGTTTGAGGTCATTTACTTCACAGAGTTATGAAAAATAAACATGTTACTGGTTATCATTATCTTATAAATAATAAAAGAAGATAAGATTATACAGCCTAAGTAAGAGGCAGAACGGTAATTCTTATGCACGATATCAAGTATGGTCACCTCTGGATGGTGGGATTTCAGGTAAAACCCAGGTCTTCACTGTCAAGATGTTTACCATGCTCAAATTTTGGAGTTTGATTTTTTTCTTCCAATTAGAAAAAATTATACTTCACCTTAAAACAATTCCTCTATAAAGTCATATGAAGGGGTGCCTAGGTGGCTCAATCGGTTAAGCAACCAACTTAATGCTCAGGTCATCATCTCGCGGTTCGTGAGTTCGAGCCCCATGTCGGGCTCTGTGCTGACAGCTCGGAGCCTGGGGCTTGCTTCAGATTCTGTGTCTCCCTCTCTCTCTGTCCCTCCCCTGCTAGCACTTTGACTCTCTGTCTCTCTGTCTCTCAAAAATAAATAAACATTAAAAAAATAAAAAAATAAAAAAATAAAAAGTCAAAGGAAAAAATGATACATGGTGTACCTTTTCCTGGAATGAAGAACTGAACTATACCTCTCGCCTCCTCCATACACAAAAATCAGTAGACAGTGATACAGTACCTGAGAATCTGATCTAAGACTTGTCATGAGGCTTCTATAAACTCATTATTTCATAATGCAACCAGGAGACCGATTACACAGTACATTTACAACACATGCAATATACTTGGGACTCTGAACTCTGCAGCAGCTGATTAAATAAGAAGCCTACTCCTTTCTCAGCGGTCTTGGCATAGCTTCATTAAGTTTAGCAAGCATCAAACTCCCAGAATACCATAAATAACTTTGCTTTGTGAGCTGGAGTAACAGTATTAAAATTTCCCAGGTGTAAGGATGTCCTACTATCTAAAACTCTGTACTACAAGATGACTTCCAGATTACCACTGTCACTACTACGGATGTAATGTCAAGGTGAGAATGCATCAGCTTTTAAACTTAGAGGGGCGCCTGGGTGGCGCAGTCGGTTAAGCGTCCGACTTCAGCCAGGTCACGATCTCGCGATCCGTGAGTTCGAGCCCCGCGTCGGGCTCTGGGCTGATGGCTCAGAGCCTGGAGCCTGTTTCTGATTCTGTGTCTCCCTCTCTCTCTGCCCCTCCCCCGTTCATGCTCTGTCTCTCTCTGTCCCAAAAATAAATAAACGTTGAAAAAAAAATTAAAAAAAAAAAAACAAACTTACAATACACTGTGGACAAAATTAAGTGCAGCTTTTAGCTTCAGAGGAAAACATTCATCTCTACTCTGATACTATTTTCTATAAGATTAATTCGACAACCATTTTATCTTTAAATCCTCATAGCACAGAAAAACAGAGCCAAACTAGATTCTAATTTTCCCATTAGTAGACTTGTGGAAAAATCTATGTTTGAACTATATAGTTAAATATTAATGTTTAACTGATTAGGTATCTTATTTAGGATGTTACGTTAATATACTGGAATGTCAGAGAACAATGCCAGTATTGTATTCTTTCCAACCAAACACTGCACATTTAAAGGCACAATTATTTTATGCCATTCCTAAATCAAGCCCCAGATTTCATTCATATCTCTATCAGAGAGGAGACCTACTACCACTATTTCTAAAAGACTTTATTTCTGAATACGTGTTTATTTAATTTTTTAATGTTTATTTTTGAGAGAGACAGAGATGGAGTGTGAGCAGGGGAGGGGCAGAGAGAAAGGGAGACAGAATCCGGAACAGGCTCCAGGCTCCGAGCTGTCAGCACAGAGCCCGACGCGGGGATCGAACTCACAAACCGTAAGATCATGACCCGAGTTGCAGTCGGACGCTCAACCGACTGAGCCACCCAGGCACCCCTCTGAATACTTGTGTTTAAATAACATGACAAATAATTTTTATACAAAGCTTGATACTATAGTGTTAGATCATAAATTCGAGAACTAGACCCTGACAATTTGATATAGTATCTCTCAGTCGGCTACCTCTTGCCATTTCATTTTCAAATTCAGTTCTAACAACTAATTCTTGAACCAACTATGAATCATTTGGCAACATGTTCTAATTCTGGGCCCATTAACCCACATATTTTTTCAGATATCATCTGGCAAGAATCATTGCCTTTATTTCTGGAAAAGATTTACCAGTCCATTCATAGCCATTTCTTTTTCTTTCAAATTAATTTTTCTTACACATGAATAAATTAGAAAAGATGGATCAGTATCAATCCCAATAGTGCATTTTACCAGAATCTCATATCCTATGTAACTATTTTCCAAAGTGAAGATTCAAATAAAATCCATTTTCCATATGTAGGAAAAGATCACTCTAATTGTTAGAAAAAAAAAGCTTCTCGAATTCCTCTTCACTAACTAGAGAGTCAAACAGAAGCTCTACAATACACATTGCCCTTCCTTCAAGTAAAGACTCAAAATACTGGATGAATATAGAAATGCCCCAAAACAACTTGGGCCAAAAGCCTACAGGGGTAGCTATATAGACCAGGAAAGAGAGAGCGCCTCTGGGTAGAACTGCCATACTGCTTCTCGAAGTACCTGAGAAATTAAACACTAATCATCAACAAAGGTTACTCAACAGCTCTCAGTGACTATCTTCTTACCTCCTACATGGTACAAGGATAATTAAATGATGTATCTGCTTAAACATCTGTGCTCCCCACAATTCCTGAGGACAGGTATATTACCTTTTTCTTCTCTACATCTCTAGGCCCTAGCAGGCTACTCAGCAAATAAATGGTTGACATTTAGTAAATATGTACTAAACAGAACTGAAGCATTTGCTTCTAACAATAACTGTAGTCTTGTAATAAATGGTAGGTATTAGAACAAACTGGTGGACTTACTGGAGTGTCGGTTATACTTGCAGAGATGGGTATATAACCAGACCTAAAAGAGTACCTCCATTGCTACCATGGTACCAGTGTAATAGGGACACGTTTTTCAAAAGATGCCTCCTATTGCTTCCTCTTTAGTAACAAAACTTCTAAATTTCCCAACATCCTTTGCAGGTAGGTGTGGCCATAAGACTAAGTCCTTGCCAATGAGATGTAAATGGAAGTCTTGTACAGGAATTCCAAAAAGGTTACTTAAAGGAAGCTGAATCAGCTAGAAAAAACACCTCACCCCCTGCTCCATTTTTTTTGTACCTTCCAGACAACTTAGAACACGATGAATGGAGAATCAGCAGCCCAAGCACTATGATACTGAGTCATAATAATACTAGCACTGGACCACTTACTGACACAGTTTTTTCTGCAAGAGAAATAACTTGTATCCAAGCCACTGTTTTTGAGTTTTCTTTTATCCTCACTGAACATAACACTATTTGACAAATAGCATTTGGAATTCCAAAGTGTATGTCTGAAATGGCAACTATGTCTGTGGTTTCCATGTTGAAGAGGATGAATAGTTCTCTATTGTCCCTAAGACTTAAGACCATAAATGCATCAAATACATGATCAATAAAACTAATAATATGGGAGACATGGCTTTGAAACCCAGAATCTTACTCTAATATAAATACTTTACAAAAAGGGATAAAAAGTCCATGGAAATGGTGAGGGTTTCCAGGTTACAGTAGCAACAATAAGGTTAATGCTGTTGACAGCTTTATAATTAATTAAGTGCAAAAAACCCCACAACAACCCAAAACAAACAACAACAACAAAAAAAACGCCTTAATTAAATGGACAGAAAGGCTGAAGCCACTAAATTTAGAGTCCTAGCTCTTAGTCCTAAGTAATTTCAGGAACGCAATTTTATGTAATAGGAACTTGGCTCACGATTAAAAGGAAGGGTGATTAAATTATCTGTAAGGAACTTCCAGCTCTGTAATTCTCTACAAATCTTAGCATATTAATATTAAATTAAAAGAAAAAGTGCAAATGTACTATTATTAACTCCTAGAAAATTCCTCAAATAAAAAAGCAACTACATCTGCCTTAGATACTAAAGCAATGGTATCTTCCCTTTATCAGTAGAAATGTTTTAACACTACTAACTAGAATTCATCAGGATATTTTTGTGCCTGTTCTTCTGCTACCTAAAATGTGCTTATCCCCAACTCTTCAACTGTCTAACCCTTTTATTTATCTCTTTTCTATCATAGTGTATAGGTCTCATCTTCACTGAGGCTGGTCCTGACCCCTAAAGCAGGTCCCACCTGCTAGGTAACAACAGGGTTTTTTTGTTGTTTACCACAACTTCCATTTATATAATTACTTGCATTGTTTTGTTCACTATTTGTCTTTCCCTCTATAGTGAAACTTCCAGATGGGAAGCAATATGTCTAGGTTTTTTCTTCCCCCACTTTTTTTTTTTTTTTTAATTTCTTTTAAACGTTTATTTCTGAGAGAGACAGAGCATGAGCAAGGGAGGGGCAGAGAGAGAGGGGGAGACACAGAATCTGAAGCAGGCTCCAGGCTCCGAGCTGTCAGCACAGAGCCCTATGCGGGGCCCGAACTCACAGATCGTGAGATCATGTGCGGGGCCCGAACTCACAGATCGTGAGATCATGACCTAAGCCAAAGTCGGATGCTTAACCAACTGAGCTATCCAGGTGCCCCATTCCCTCTATTTTATGTCCAGTCCTGGTACAATGTCTAACACATAGATGAAACTAATTTATGCACTTGTTACATGAAGGAATAAATGAATAAATGAAGCAGGCATCAAGAATTGCAGAGACCACATGAGGAAATGTTGACCGACTTACCTCATTAAACACAGGATACATGACTGCATAGAGGGGCATAGAAACCATGGAAGTGGTCTCAGCTTCATTCTTCATCTCTTCCATTGTCATCCTCATTCAAAAGCCAACTACAGTAGAAAAGGCAGTGCTAAAATGCAGAGGAATCTTCATTCACTGCAGTATTTCTTCTCTTTTTTGTGATAAAATAGGGCACAAAACATATACTGACCTGTTTAAAAGGGAAGAATGAACACAGATTTACTATACAAACACCAGTAACTTTCTTTCCCAGTCCCTATCTTATGAACAACTGATTTGTTAACATATCTTACTTATGAAGGTATCCCAGATCTGTGAGACATCTCTTCCTCCTCAGACTCAAGAATTTGCCCTTTCTTACAACAAATTTCCCTTATTAGGTACTAATTCACAAAGCTGTGATTCAGGAACCCACTCATCTTCAACTGAGACAGTGCTTTCTGAAGCACCATGGAATAATCATGCATCTAATTCCACTACATAAAATCAAAAAATACAAGGAAGTACCAACAAAATACATAATTGTAACATTTATATGTAATATAAAGCTGTAACTATACAGAACCACATTAACGGACTAAGAATAAGGAATTAAGGTGTTTAGATTAAAATTTTTTTTGCTAGTAGTTCATTGATTTTTGTCACCTAAACACAGCCAAGCACCAGAGATTTAAGACAAATCTTAAAACTGGGAAAATTCTATCAAATGTGGTCTATTTGGGGGGAAAATGTTTATTTAATTTTGCTAGTGGTACTTTTCATATCTTGGTCCCCAAATCTGGCACAAAAACTTAAGTACAGAGATCCACAGACCCTGATAGCTTGGAATTAAAATACTGAGGAGCACCTGGGTGGCTCAGGTGGTTAAGCATCTGAATTCAGCTCAGGTCCTGATCTCACAGCTTATGAGTTTGAGCCCAGAGACAGGCCTTGTGCTGACAGCTCAGAGCCTGGAGCTTGCTTCAGATTCTCTGTCTCCCTCTCTCTCTGCCCCTCCCCTGCTCACACTCTGTCTCTGTCTCTCAAAAATGGATAAACATTGAAAAAATAAAAAGTAAACAAAATAAAATACTGAGAATTTGGGGTGCCTGGGTAGCTCAGTTGGTTGGGCATCCAACTCTTGGTTTCGGTCATGATCCCATGGTTTCATGAGCGCAAGCCCTGCATTGATCTCCATGCTGACAGTGCGGAGCCTGCTTGGGATTCTCTGTCTCTCTCAAAATAAATAAAAACTTTAAGAATTTAACAATCTAAGAGGGAAATTTTGCCTTGAAGAGCTGAGGAAATATATTGGTTTTTAAGAGAAAGCAACTGTATTTATTTTCTTTGCTAGGCTAAAAAATGAGCCTAAGTGTAAAGTGAAAGAGTAATATTAGTGACATATTTTAAACAATATATATTAATATATATTTAAAAGCCATCAGTTTTGAATAATTTCTACCATCAGTTTTGAATAATTTCTACCATTTACAAAGCATTTTCAGATTAGAAAACATTTTTCACATGCTTTTAGTCTTCACAATGTAACTATCTTACCTGACAGCAACTGCCATTCTAATTTTACAGATGGAAAAGCAGCTTCTGAGATGGTAAATGACTTGACCAAGAACACACATGCAGGGCACAAGACTTAATCATAATACTTTCAATCCAGATCTGATAATTCCACATAAAAGAACTAAGTTTGAGCAGGAAACAAAGAACCTCAGCTCATCTACCCAGGAAAATACCCAGAAGTTATTCATTCACTGAAAAATGTATGTTTAGCACCTACTGTGTATAAGATGCAGTAGGGAGTGATCAGGATGTGACCCTAATCATTAAAAACTCATCTGGGCCAGCCTGTGGAAGACCTAAGCAGTTTGGAAATTAAATCAAAGGCCCGGAGTATGTATAGCTTCAAAAAGCTCTAATAATTTGTCCAATTTGAGAACTGCTTACTATCTATCCTTCCATATCCCTACAAGTGAAGCAGAACGCAACCCCTACTGAAACAGTTTAGTCCCGTTTCTGGTAGTTCTAAACACAGGAAGTTTTTCGTTTTTGAGCTAAAAGCTGCTCCCTGACTTCACAGAACCAAATAACTAAATAAAAATAAAAAGGCTAATTCCTAAGTTTTATCTCCTAGGGTAACAGAAAAACATTACCTGATGAGATCATTTATTTAAGCAGACTGCTTTGGTCATACCATTAAAGATAGAACAGAGGAACACAAACTGAAGGGAAAACTTAAAACATCTAGTATATTTATATAAAAGACCAACCAGATCTGAGCAAGTAACAAGAGGAAGTAGGTAAATATCAACTGTGGCCCTGTTGTTTCTATTTAACTACATAAATTTGGTATTCTACTTTTCCACTTTAGAAGTAAATTGTGGGGGCACCTGGGTGGCTCAGTCAGTTACGCGTCCAACTCTTGATTTTGACTCAGGTCATGATCTCACAGTTCTTGAGTTCGAACCCTGCAGTTGGGCTCTGCACTGACAGTGTGGAGCCTGCTTGGGATTCTCTCTCTTTCCATCTCTCCCTGCCCCTCCCCCACTTTCAGGCAGGTTGTCTCAAAATAAATAACATTATAAAAATAAATTGTGAATACTATTTCATATTAAACTTGGAACAAAAAAAGAGGGGCTGAAATGCAAGGATAGTCAAAATGAAAATGATGGACAGTGGATGCACTGTATAAACAGTAATTGAAGGCATCAGTATCAATGAAAAAACAAGTGAGAAATAGCAGAACAGGGCCAACACTTGAAGAGTTATCTCATTACCTATACAGTATTAGACCTGGGACTAAATACAGAGCAGTGAACAAGACAAGACAGTCTCTGACCTCATGGAGCTTATCCAGTGAAAGGAAAGCCAGAAAACAAACAATTAGTATTACAAGGGAGAAGTCAGGATACTATATTGCAATGGGAGAATTGGGAGAGAGAACCAGTATCACAGAAACAAGGTGTTTCAAAGAGAAGGTGGTCAAAAGTTTTAAATGTCCTGAGCATGGACAATAACTTAAAAAAAAATTATTTGATTTCTTAAAAAAAATTTAATGTTTACCTTTGAGAGAGAAAGCCAGAGCGCAAGTGGGGAGGGACAGAGAGAGAGGGAGACACAGAATCTGAAGCAGGCTCTAGGTTCTGAGCTGTCTCGGGACTCACAAGCTGTGAGACCGTGACCTGAGCCGAACTCAGTAGCTTAACTGACTGAGCCACCCAGACTCCCCAAAATCATTCGATTTCTTGATGAGCTCACGAGTAACAAAGAGTAGTGTCACTTGTATACTGGGCGGGGGGGGACTACCTGTAGGAGCTGACAGCTGGTAAGTCTAATGATCTCAGTAAAAAGGAAGTGAAAAATTAAAGTAGGCTCAATTGGATCATTTTTGTATTTTTCTCTTTTGAACATATGTGTATCCCTGCATATATAAAGGCAGATGGAAGTGATCAGTAAAAGTGGCTAGAGTCACTTTCAGGATTCTTGCTGGCATCCACCCATCTACCCCAATAAATCTGTTCAAACACTTAATTTTTTACCTTTTGTAAACAGCTGTATTGGATTTTTTTCCATTGTGTTTCATCAGTAGTATTGTCCCATGTCAGGAAATTTTCACTTGAGATATTTATGATTCAAACTGAAGAAAACACATGTATGTATTTCTCACCTCTAAAACTAACTATGCGGTACGATAGCTACTATTTATCATCACAAAGAAAGTATTATAGCAATATTATGAGTTAAAGAGGTGGCTAAAGAGGAGGCACACATTCACAAACTGGGGCCACTCATGGTTTCATCAGTGTTTACATGAGATTAAAAATCAACAATTTCAATTAGGTTTCTTAAATATTAAATTGTTCTGTCATTTTTAGTACAAGTTAAAAAATGCTGTCATTCCTTCTACAGGCTTCTTTATTTGAAAAGGTTCAATGAACAACCTGCAATTACTCCCATCAACAAAGAGCCTGTTACCCAAATAGCAAAGGTACTAAGCTGATCAAGGGCTGAGGGCTGAGACCCTGCCCCTTTGAGAAGGATGTTCCTTTCACAGTGGGTGTGGTCAGGCCCTGAGCAGATGGGCAGCACCTTAACAGTTTCAGTTCTCTAGTGGCTACTGGTTTCTGAGGTGAGTGTGGATCATGTATGCATAGCCAACTGAAGATTAATAACTCCAAATCCCAAACCTGGAAAAGTCTTAAGAAGGCACCACATACACCATCTAGTACAGTAGAAACCACAGTTCAAAAAAATGACTTGCCATGGTAGTAACTGCTAACTAACAATAAATAAAAATTTATTGTGGGTATGGTGGCAACATAACAACTACTTTGTTTCCCATTTCAAATGTGTTACATTGGGGGAAAAGTTTTGATTTCAAAGTAAGCTTTGTTTCACAAGGAATTAGTCACACATACACACACACACACACACACACACACACACACACACAAAACACAAAACAAAAAACAAAAAACAAACAAAAAAACCAAGAACCAGAACTACAAGACCAGTAACACAAAGGTATATTTTTTTAAAAAGTATATTTATTTATTTTTAGAGAGAGGGAAGAAAACGCATAGGCGGGGGGCAGAGAGAGAGGAAGAGAGAGATCCGAAGCAGACTCCATGCTGTCAGCACCGAGCCCAACTGGGGGCCTGATAATAACGAACAGGAGATTATGACCTGAGCTGAGATCAAGAGTGGGACACTTAACTGAGCCACCCAGGAGCCCCAAAAAGGTATACTTCTAAGCAAATTCTTCTTCAAAAACACCCTCTGTGATATGGGGCTACGAATACAAATAGAATATAAGCAACCTATTCATTTATATTTTCTCATTTCCTTGAGTGATCAAAATAGCACTGCTAATCTCTAACACACAATGAATAAGTATTAAATATCTCTCTGCACTTAAGACCATTATTTGTTTAGAGTGAGGAGAAAACAAAAATAGGTTCTTGTCCATTCCACTGCAAAACGATTAGTCTTAGAGGATTTCTGCCCTGCCCTGCCCAAAGAACCAACAGGAGTCTGTTCATTTAAAGAACTACACTCAGAAAGATCTCAAGGTTCAGAATCAG